GTGCATTTTGTGCAGCTGAACATCAAGTCTGGACTGTGAACTAGATTCAGGATCCTCTTTCTCTGGAAACTACAACGTTAAGACAGAGGTGGAATATTGTATACAGAAACTTATTTTAAGCTCTGCACCTGGCTTGTCCTTGCTTCTTTGTGTCTTTAGATCATCCAGAAAAGATTAGTATGCTTCATGCTACAGACAAAATTTCATACAGCAAAGTTTCTGATACTACAGTATTTTATAGAGAACAAACTAGTAGAATAATACATTTTCAACAATTTAAGCCATTGTCATAATTCATAGTTGTAGCATGTCCTTGAGATAAATATTATCTTATTCATTTATCAATCTTTATTTGTAACTGATATTATGGCCGCTGTTTTTGCACATGTAACTCCCTCCCAAGAATATCCTTTATTGCCTTTTTGTTTCAAAGCCTTTACCCTACATTGAGAATACTCTACAGAGACGATGGAGCTATTGTGGCTTTCTCAATGGAGGTGAAATGAATGTATATTCTCTATGCTGTCCTCTGAGCAGATGTAAGAGCAGTGGTTGGTGTCACTAGTTCGATTAACTAACCCGTTACTGTGCAACTAAAATCTAGGCAAAAAAGTTTGGCCATGGTTCTGAGTTATTTGCCTCTGCTGTAGTTTTTGGTGTTGTGATCTCCACTCCTCACTTCTCTAAAAATACCTGAGATCTCATTCATGATTAGCCAAACCCAATCCTCTGGCTCAAAGATGGGTGAGAGGGAAGCAGGATTTTAATTATTTATTTTTTATTTTTTTGTAAGTGCTTGGGATGAGGAGGTATAATTTTTACTGCATATGCATGACACTTCCAATACAATTATTTTTCTTGGATGCAAAGTATAGAGCCATTGTTATAGTTATTATTATTTTTTTTTATCTATGCCTATTCTACATCCATGAGTTCCAAGAGTGTTTAGAAACTCTGTTCAATATTTCAAGACTGGTTAATGGAAAGATATTTTACGTGAATTTTCAAACTATGTAATTATGCACCAGGTCCAGGAAGTCCAATTTCTCATTCTACCTGTTCAGCTGATTCAAAACTCAATGTTGATACACACACACACAGAAACACACACACATACACACACACACACACCCCAATGACTGCTACATGATCCCACTGTTTTAAATCATCATTAAATGGACATAATTTTTTTTATGGTTTTTAAATTTGGTATATGCCTTCAAATGACTATTAATGGTACACACTGTTTTGTAGCAAACTGAAAATGTTTTGAAAAGGAAATACATTACTGAAATATTTTAAAACATAATAACAGTGATTAAGTGTACTGTCAGATGGTCAGTTATTACAAAAATTAAAAAAAAAATATTGTCCTGGACAGTGATATGCATTATATACTCTAGTAATCCTAAAACTGTACCAACTGTAGAAAAGAAGCTTCTGCTTCTTCTTAAGGGTGATACCAAGTAGTTTCTTCTTGATCTAACAGGAAAAACTGATCATGAAGAAGGTCTGTCAAAGTTCCTTGCAGTAAGATACAGAAGGAAGATGGTCCAATGAGTCTGATTTGTATGGATTTTTTTCAGAGCTATGTTATTTCTCTTTCTGTTTTTGACGGTGAAAGATGGTCATGCTGCATAGACTACTAGTAGTTTTCACTTCTGAAATGATTTAAAAGTACAAAAAATACTATGGAATAGATGATGTATTCATTAATAATAGAAGCACCTTTGCCATTATCAACCTTCTACCTACTTACATCAAATGAAAACAACATGATTTATAAAAGAATAACTTAACAGATTTTATTTTTATTGCACTTTAAATATTTGCTGGTCTATTTAAATATTTAAATATTTAAATATTTCCATGTTAATAACTTTCATTAATTGCTTGTAATTTGTTTTGTTGACTGTGTGAGAGGAGGCTACTCATGGTACATATTTATTACACAATTTACCAAGAGTCAGACAAGTTGAAACTAATGAATCATTTGTTTGGTTCAAACTTTGTATTCAATGAAAATATACAATATTTTATATGATAGTACTAAAGAACATAGACTTTGGAAGCAAATGACCTTTGTTAATAATTTTGCATTAACACTGTCAGTCCTGTGATCACAGGTTTCAGTTGCCTTAGAAAAAGAGGAACAATAAAGCAAATTTCACAGAGAAGTGAAATGATGGATGCAGAACAGTTAGCAGAAATCGTAGTGAAAAAATAATGTCCAATAAAGTGTGCTATTAATTTTTATTATTAATGGAGTGTGTTGCATGTAAAAAAAACAACAAATGACAAAAACTTAAATCATATTTAAAAATCCAATTCAAAATATATTAGATGTTTTCCACTCTCACTAAATCCTGTTGGGTTAATCCAAACTTCATCCTTCTTAGTCTTGAAAATAACCGTTTTTTTTCACCTGCTTTCAGAAAAGCTGGATTTTTTTCAGAGATTCCTTGAAAGAAAATGATAGATTGTTTTATGCTGCTAATTTCTTAATATGACAGTAGAAGCTATCTATTTTATCTTTAGTTAAGCTTGCTAAGCATAATAACTGAGAAAAACAGTTAATATGAAGGGGAAGCGTGATAATTTGGTTTACATAAGTATGTACTCAAACAACCTGTATGGAAAATAAACAGCTACCCTATGTTATCCTAATGATGGGGAATATAATTTTAAGAAATAATTTCTCTTGTTTTTCACATTTTTCATTTTTGTGTAATAGAATCTATGTACTACAATTTATCTTTTTCTGACAGCATTTTAATAGTGACACAACTGGCAATTAGTTTCTTTTTGTATATTTTATATTACATTAATTGAGTAGAATTAAAAAAAACTTATCACAGTAGCTTATTAAAATATCTATCATTATTTGACTGTTGTGAGTATAGAATTCTATTATGGCATTTTAATACTATCCTGGGTTTTGATGCATTTGCTTTTTCTTGACATCTACACATATAATATTCAGAGAAAACTAATTATAATCATACCTAATGGTATCACTGCATATGACTGTTGAAATATGAGTAAATTGTTGTGCATGGGATGCTTTTTAAAAAGCTTTTTAAAAAAATATTATGATAAAAAAATGAGAGTCACTCTTTTCATAATAAAAGGAAATTATTTAGTTGAGCTTTATTTGGTATAAGATTGTATCTTTAATGAGATGTTTTTCCAAAACCTTCCATGAAAAATACAATTCATAGTTCAGGTTTGTTGTTTGTATATATAAATGACCATATATAAATGGATTATTCTGTTCATAAGTCATGTATTTTGTCGATAAAGTATGAATTTATTCTCTTCTTTCTCCTATCAGATGTGGGTTCTGTTGAAGGACTTGCCTATCACAGAGCCTGGGATACATTGTACTGGACCAGCTCCACTACCTCTTCCATCATCAGACACACAGTGGACCAGACTCGGCCAGGAGCTTTTGACAGGGAAGCAGTCATTGCCATGTCAGAGGATGACCACCCACATGTGCTAGCCCTGGATGAATGCCAAAAGTAAGAAACTTCCTTCATTATAAGTTAAAAACTATCCTATTTATGTATAATTTTAATAAAATTAACTATAAAATAAGGATTTCCTTTGGAGTACTCTTTTCACAATCCATATTTTTTTTTTTTTAAATACCATTGTAAAATGTAAAGAGTTAAGTACTGGACTCTTTAAATACCTGGTATTTGAGAGCTCTAGTAAAAGCTCTAGTAAAAATCTCAGTTATTAAAGGGAAAATGGAAAATACTGTATTAGAAAAGGTATATGAAAAAGATACTAATGAATACCTGATTTGTGTAATAAACTTGGAAAAAGCTATTTAAATGTATTGAAACCTAAAAGGTGTTTAAATACTTTAATCAAGTATTCTAACAACTGGAGATTTCACCAAATGAAATACAGAGGAAGAAAAAAAACATAATAGATCTTTGTGTGCAACTATTTTTTCAGTAATAGATACTTGACAACAGTCTAAGTAGTCCAGATTTCTTTGATGATATATTGTGCAGGCAATTATAATAATACTTATAAAGAATTCATGATAAGTAAAAATGCTGAGGCCATACTCTAGAGTGAATAAAAATAGTAGCAAATCAGAAAACTGTCATGTTTTGGGAAATGATTAAAAGTAAGTAATATGGCAACTGAAAAAAAAAAAAAAAAACACAGTTGAAATGAATATATATCCACAATCACACATGGAGTTCCACTCTCATACAATATGGTAAGGTTATTTGTTAACTACTATAAAATCCTTTTTCCTTCAATAAAGAGGTAAACAAAAATCAGATGATCAACCTGTGTTTCATTGGGCAAAATTAGAACGTTTTTTTAGGTGTGATGAAGAAATATTAAAGATTAAACAGGCAATGACTGACAGGCAATGATGGATAATCACTGACTATTTGATGGGAGAAAGGATTGCATTAATTACTCAGTGTAAAAATAATTTTATGTGTTCTCTTATGGAGCTTGAAGTAAGAATAGACTTTACACTCAACTGGACATTTCATAATATATCTGCAGACTCTGAAGGCTAAAAGATTTGGAAAATCTTGCTGCCTCATTGAACAGTTCTAATGAATTAGTTCGTATCTGTGCAGGTCTTCAGATGCCTGGACAAAAGTTGCTCTACTGATCACACTACTGCCCTGTACCATTCAGCTTGTTGTTGAATCAGCTACACTGATGCTGACACTTCACCAAAAGAGTCTTTGGATAATAAGGAATTTAAAAGAGACCTTTGAAATAACCTAAGGGAGATCTCTGTGATATTACAAGTGCTTTATCCTATAATTATTCATTACATTGGTTAAATTACATTATCATCTTGCATATGGTCAACGGTAATTTAGAATTAAACATATGAAATTAAAATACTAAAACAATTGAATTGCAACACTACATGTAATTAAAATTTAAAGTGTAAAATATTTTTAGCATTTTACTTATCAACAAAGCACTATTATATGTTAGTTGGTGAACAGAAAATTAAAAATAAAATTAAATTCTGCATGAGGTAGACTTTTTGAGTTCAAATCATGGTTCAGTTACTCAACTTCAATTATTCAAGCTGTCCGTTTTTCTGTTTTCTTATCTGTGAAATGAAAGGTAAAGTTTAAAGAGCAGTAATCATACCTCAGAAATTCCATAACCTAAAAAGCTACAGTATAGGAAAACAATACAACTAAATTGTGTACTTTCCATCTCATATTATATGCTGGACATTACATGTTTTGAATAATTATTTTATTTATTTAAATGTCAAAGTGTCTGAATAAAGTTGTTGCATGCTTAAGAAAATGAGATGTTTTTTATTTTGCAAATTTACTCACAGGACAATATTCTTTTGACAGTTGCTCACTTAAAAATCTTTTATTCAAAGCAAAAATGAAAATGCTACGCAGAATATTAACAAACAACACAGATGATCCAGGTTTTTACTTTTGGTGGGGGTTATTTTTCAAATCAGCAAGTAGGAAGATTTTAGTTGTGAACTTAAATATTATCTAGTAATGCATTTTTATAATATTATATAATCATACATTGAATGATTTTGTTTACTATAATCATGCGTTGATATTAAATAAGTATATAGGGAAATGATATATAATCTTGCTATAAATATTAAATATTATTTTACATAGTTTTCACAAAGCCAATGTACTTTTCCAAGTATTTACAGAAACTTCCTGCCTGCTACCTGGCCTTCTTCCCTCGTTTCCTTCCTTCCTTCCTTTTTTCCTTCCTCCCTCCCTCCCTTCCATTCCATCTTAAGGAACAACAAACTATCTTCAAATGAATTTATATGGGCAGTCCAGTTGATAAAAGAAGATAAATAACTGTTTCAGTAAAAATAGGATATGGAGTCTCAAATGTCTCTCTTTTCCCAGTGACTCTAAGGACTTCCATAAAATACCAGGTTTCCCTCAAAGAACAGTTTAACAAATGCTGGTTTAAAGAATTCTATGCAATCTATAGGTAACATGTGTTATATTTATGGATTTGAGAGTAACCCCTTAATTCCAGAAATGCCAGTATAATTAATAGGAAAATCACACTGATAAAAAAGAGTAGGGAAAAAATTTAAAGAAGTATGGAAATTAGTAACTATATAGTCTTTGAAACATATTTAAAGGAGAACATTGAATTTAAAACGCAAATCTGGAAGGGTAGGGAGTTTTTGTTTTTACCAATAGAAATCCAAAATATAGTCATATTAAGAATAAGTCCAAAATGATCATACTGGGTCTGCTGAGACATAATATTAATAAGTTAGAGCTTATAGGAAGTTCACAGAAATTTGATAACTGTTTTGTCCTTGTTAAAAAATAAATCCTCACTATGCATCATTCAGACTCAATTTAATCGAATCACTATTTGAGAGCACGCCCAGATATAATTGTTTTTCAGAATAGTTTTCATGTTTCATTTAAGAACCTAAGAAAAATATATATCCAAATGTGATATACATAGCTCCCTTTATTGTCTAGCCTTCCTTAAGGATCACAGAATATGAAATGTTAATTTTGGTTCTTTTCAAATAGCTTGATATTGCCACACTTTTATTAATGTTTGTGCTATTAATGAACTTTGTAATATATTACTATAATTTTAATTTTAATTAGTTTAATGTTTTGGACGAACTGGAATGAACAGCATCCAAGTATCATGAGGTCTACCCTGACTGGAAAAAATGCTCATGTGGTGATCAGTACAGATATACTAACTCCTAATGGACTCACCATCGACCACCGTGCAGAGAAGCTATATTTCTCAGATGGCAGCCTAGGAAAAATCGAAAGGTGTGAATATGATGGATCCCAGAGACATGTAAGTTAATTGACAATTTCTTGAATGTAGATTTTAATAATGAAACATTTTTAAAAAGTTTCCTTATGCTTGCCTAAAAATATATTCATTTCAAGGGATTTCAAAATACTTAATTGTTTGAACCAGCCTAACAGAATAAACTATTTAGTGAAAAAGAAAACTGTGGATAATATTTTAAAAACTTTTTTCAAGTGCATTTGTTACCATGGAGACAGTTCAACTCTTGTAAACTCTTCTGGAGAAACAATAATTGATTTCTCTTATTTATTAAATTAATTGAGCTAATTTTTTTAGGGTGATTTGTCTATACTTCATTGTTATTTATTTATTTTTAATATGAATAAAACTGACTCTGTTCTAGAATAAATGAGCATTAGGGTAGAATGGAATGATCCTTCGTGTCGTCTCCTCCTATGTTCCAAAAACAACCTAAGCAAATCTGAAGAGAGTATGGGATTCCTTTCAGTCAGACCCATTATCTGTCTCTTTTCTCTGAGTTCCAAATGAAATGTTTGTGGAAGAGTCTTTAAATTGCCTCTGGAGAATACTTATAGCAAATATTGAGGGCCTGTACAAAGATCAAATTCCAGTGTCCTCCACTTACCCCTTGAGAACAGCAGTTCTTAGCAACCAGGAAAACTCAGGGTCAAGAGGGTCAGATCTGGTAGTCAGACAAGTGGAGAAATCCCCCCACACCCCAGGGCATTCCAAAAGGACAAAAGGATCCTCAGCTTCCTTATGGTGCTGCAATAGAAGTGGTGAATATATAAATGGTGGCTTTACAATATTCTAGTAAAACAATATTTATATAAACAGATAACCAACCAGCATACCATAGTCTGTAACTTATCTATACCATTAAACATACTGCTTAATTAAATTGCATATATTTCCATACCTGTATTTCTTCATGTATATCATTGCATTGTAAATGTTATATAGATATATAATATACCCATTAATATGTCAGCTAACATATACATATACAATCTAATCTATATATTAAGATGTAGCATGCATTGATCTATGGATATATTATATAGAGATATTCTAGGGCAAGTAGCTATCTTATTTACCTGTGTGTGTGTGTGTGTGTGTGTGTGTGTATGTGTGTGTGAGAGAGAGAGAGAAAGAGAGAGAAAATGAAAAAGAATGGCACATATAAGAAAGACCCACAACTATAAGTGCTGGGGAGGATGTGAAGAAAAAGGACCCTATTACAAAGTTGGTGGAAATGTGAACTGGTGTCACCTTTATGGAAAGCAACCTGGATTTAACTTAAAAATATTAAAGTGGAAATGCTATAGGACTGAGCATTCCCACTTGTTGGCATATAGCTACAGAGTATGAAACCACCAATAAAAAGTCCATATTTACAGTGTAGGACAAGGAATCAAGGAATGACCTAAATTTCCTTCAACAAAGAAATTAATGGAAAACACATGGTATAGATAAACCATAGGATATTGTGCAGCCACAGGAAAGGATGAAATATAGCTATTTTTCAATATAATGAAGGGGGCATAAGAGATTTGTGTGCAGCAAAGTAAATCTGAATAATAAAAAAAAATTACACATTCACTCAACAGATAATTTGATCACACACAGTATTTCCAAAAATTAATGGAGATTAATAAACATCCTGAGGTTTCTGAGTTTAAGAGGGAGGGAAAAAGGAAAGGGACAGAGGCACAAAATAGATGGTGGTAGGGGCCTACCCAGCGGTGCAGTTGTTAAAGTCCCAGCACTATCAAGCTACCACCAGCCACTGTGGCATAAGTTTGACCCCTAGACAGGGAATTAACACACATGGTGCAGTAGACCCCTCCTGTCTTGCTTTCTGTTCCCCTAACAATGTATTTCAGTCAGTCTGCCTGTTCTGCTCCCCACTCTGTCTCTGGTGAATCCTCTTACCCAACCCCCACCTCGCACCTATGACCTACACCCCAGACCTTATATGCATAAATAAGTAAAATAAGTCTTTTTAAAAAAAAAAATACATGTTGTTAGGGAAAAAATGTTAATTCCTAAATCCCCAAAGGTCTGCACAGAGCACTGGGGGAGTAAACTGGAAAGAAGTCAAAACTTACAATATGAAATATTTGGAATGTATCTTTTGGAAAAAGGAAGCAACCTATGTTTAAGTTAAATTTTGGAGAAATTTTTATAAATCTATGCATCATAAGCCCACAAACACAGAACAATTACCATTGCTCTCCTAAAGAGAGTTTTAAGAGCTTATCTTTGAGAATATCTAGGAATTAAACTGTGGTCAAGCACGTTTTTGTAACTGTAGCTTTAATAAAGTTTTATAGGCATGTTTACTACATTACATCTTTTTTTATTTGCTCCTGTATACTGTGAATCTTCAGAATGAAATATGGTACAGTATAGTTCTGCTCAGACAATCCTATTTTGTTCATGTAGTGTGCAGAGCGATTATTTGATTTGAAAAATAGTGATGTACTATTTATAAGTCTCTTCATTTATTGTAAGAAAGTATATAACTTGTTACTAATCAAGGAAACAGCTTCTTTCAAACATTGAAAAAATCAGACAAAATGATTTTTGAACACATTTTACTCTTTTAATTATCTGCTAATGTTTAGCTTAAAAAACATTCATAGCTTTACTTTCCTCTGCCAATCTCAGTATTAGATTTTATAATTCAATTTTAGTTTAGAGTAAATTCATAATAAAATATAAATACATATAGTTTAAATTGGACTTGTATTGATAAAAATATAACAAATGGTTAGTTTTCTAATGTACTAATTCAGTATATTTTTTAAATACCACATTAACTTGTGTGGTGGTTCTACCTACAGATTTGCTGAGGGAAACATTTTCTGTTTGAATACTCTTGAATGATCTAATGATTGGGACAATGAAACATCAGACAATAATTTCATTTTTATTTCCTTTCTGTCCTGTCATTTCTGTTGTTCTTGTAGTTGTAGCTGAAACAATAACTAATGTTGACAGGGGCTAAGACAGCATGATTATAGCCTTTCTCCCTGCAGTTACCCTGTAAGTGTTAATCATTTCTTGGAAGGCATGAACTACCTAAGTGACACAAACCCTTCCAAAAGAGATGTTGTTTATGTTCCTAGAAACTGCAATTACTGATGTTTCTTCTGAAATTCTTTTAGAAACTTTGTCCAAAGGTTTTAATATATTCCCAGGCAGAAATACTAAGTCCTGAGCCTTGTCGTTGAAAGAAGAAGGATGTAGGATATTTCACCTCTTGGATAAACACACACTAATGAGAATTGTTTTGGATAAGTATAGGAAAACAAGTTTAAAAAAAAAACATAGTCAATCACAACAATATTAGATTTTCTGTCTTTTTTTTTGCCACCAAATATTTCCTTCTATATACTTACAGAAACAATTATTGCATTCTATAAATGAATTTACATTCTATTCACCTATTTAAGTATATAATCTATGTATTTATACGCTATTTTTTATAATATAGTTTTAATAATACTGTGATATGATCTGAATAGAGACCAGCATTCTGAAACTTTAAAACTGGTGTTAAAACCCCAAAAAGTGAAATTACTTAACTAAGTAAAACTAAATCCTATAATCAAAGACAAATAATTCCGGTATCAATTTTTAAAAGATGAAAAATATAAATTTAGCAAATTTAATTTTTTATTATAAATCAACATCAGCATGAGCAGTCATTACACTTTCAGTGACCTGATAATTTGCCCATCATTAACAGGAACAATCTGGTATTATTTCACAGATTAGAAGGCCACAAGTCCAAAACATTGCATTAATTTTTAAGGTTTCTATGTCCAGTATCTAATGCCAGTTATGATTTTTGACTAAATAGTAAAGTAAATGTCCATTTTTTTTATAAATAAAAAATATAAAATCAAATTTCATATCTATCTTCATAGTTTTTTTTTTTTTTCCTAAGTTCAATACTGATATTGAAATACTAAGGGTAGGGCCCCCCCGGTGGCGCAGCAGTTGAGCGCTGGGTTGTGAAGCTGCCCACAGCCTCTGCAGCGCCGGTTCCATCCCCGGCTGCCAGGCAAGGGTCCCACATGGTGCGCAGACCTCTCCTGCTGCCCGCTTCTGCCCTCAGCAGTGTACTTCGGTCCTTCTGCCTGCTCTGCTCCCCGCTCTAGTTCTGGTGGATTCTCTCACCCTCCCACGCTTCTGACTATACCCAATGTTTGTATGAATAAATAAATAAATAAATCTTTTAAAAAAAAAGAAATATTAGGGGTAGTACTGTCTTGGATGTGATTTTCAATACTGATGATGAATTCTTGATAATATTTTAAACAAAATAAAGTCATCTTCAATTTATACAAAAGTGACACTTTGAAAGATAATGTATATAGTAATAAAGGTCTGTAAAAAGAACTGTTCTATAAATGTAAAATGGGGCTAAATTCTAGATCAGATAATTATAAACAGACTTTCACCTTTGTGAGTCTTACAGGACATCTAAAGTTTGGATAAGCCTCAGACAGTTCACATACAGAACTGTCCTTTGTATTGTAGTGAATCCAGTTTCCTGACCACTGTTTTTCCTGGTCAATACCTGCCCACCCTGGAACTCATACCCTCAATCAAACAGAAAAACCACCAACATTTTCCAAAACCTACAGATGGGTTGGGACTACCTCCATTGAGAACCGCTAAGATATGTCTCCTGGCAGCAAATGACCATTCTACCTTATCTGGAATGCCTTAGACTATAAGTTTCCTATGCCTATAAGAGTTAGATAGATCATAGACAGGAAGTAGAATACAGTTTGTTAGTAGAAGTACTCCAAGAACTTTAATTCTAACACATGAACTCTGAACTCTTGGAAAATAAGCAACTGATAGTATCCGTTGGCCATTACATAACAGACATTTCAATTAGGTTTGTTACAAATACTCAAGTGTTTTATTACTGCTTGTGTCACTTATCTGAAATCAAGAAGCACCACTCAATGCACAGATTATTCTATCCAGTATTGATTTTGTGTATTGTCTGTATCCTTGGACATGGAGAGTTATTCAAATTACAATGTGAACTTAATAACTTTCTAATATTTTAATGAATCTTAATGGTTTTCTAATTTTTTATAATAGTAACTAAATACAAATGTGATAAAAAAGTAAAGGTTAAAACAATGGAATTCTATGAATCTATTAATAAAGATAACATAAAATATATTTCCTGGGAGGATTAGTAAGTGAGAAACAGTAGAATGAACAAATTAACATGACGCCACCCAGATCACTTAAGGCCTTAGTTCTTGGTGTGATTAGTGATTTTCTGCTGAATCTTAGTTGTTTTGTTGTATGAAATTCTATATCTCACTGAAACTTTCTGTTTTTGTTGGTATTCTCTGACATCACTCCAGTAGGGAAAATTGAGAAGTGCTGCCTTGTTAGTACAACGGAGAAGTAGAAGACCGGGTGCCCCAATGTGAGGCAGTATCAGGACTCTGCTTCTCAACAGGAGTGCAGGTTCCAGGTTTCTAGGTAGTCTCCTCTGTCAGCCATGTGGGGTGACCTCATAACCCCTCAGAGATGGTGAAAGTTCTGATTCTCTTCCAGATTTCTTCTGACACTACTCCCAACTAGGGGGTGAAGGAGAGGGTAGCACTTCATTACTGCCAAGCGTGGGTAGAAGTCCAGCACCCTATGTGGCCTTTGCCAGTATAAATGGAGACAAGTCACAGATTTTATGGGATATTTTTCTAGAGTAGATCAATTGCTATTATTATATTTTCTGCCTCACTACATAGAATCTTTATTGACCCCTTGGCTAAAAAAGCAGATATAGCTGTAGTTGTGGTTTCTGCTGCTGCCATGGTTCTGTACAAATTGACAATTCTGAGTTACAAGTTTCTTTAGTTCCAAGACTGGGATATGTGAGTCAAAAGTAAAACCCAGTGAGCTCACCACCATGGTGTTCTTCATGTCCAAGTGTAGACAGCCTGTCTTATTCTCTCCATCTCTTAATCCTCTTATTTTTCATATATAATGTCAAGGATATTTAGTTATTCTTAGTGAGCTGAGTCAAAGAGTATAGCTTTCCCATCACCTCAGAGCAGATAGTCAGTGTGTTTATAGATTTCTAGAAATGTGGAATAGAAGAAAGGGAATGTCTTATGTTTATTATCTTATAAAGTGTTTGAAAATATAAAAGTTCTGTTCCACAAGATAAGTCAAGAGAATGTCTGTCTATGCATTGGCAATACATTTAAATTGGGATGAGGTTATTAAAGCACACATAATGTGACCTGATTCACCAGCACCCAGAAACATTGAAATAGCACTGATCCACGAACTAATAGAACAAAACTTGTGGAAATAAAGAAGGTAGATTATCTAAATTTTACCATCATAACTATGATGTGTACATGCTATTATAGCACTGATATAATGATGATATGACATTGCCAAATTCAGGTGCCTGAGTGAGAAAAAGAAATGAGTGAAAACACATCCAAAATTGATGTTAGCCAATTTTCTTTTAATGCCTGAAGCAGCTATAAAAAGATTTGTGATCTTCAATTAGCTTAGGCTTTTTCAATCTCAAGCTCTGCTTTTTTAACTAGGTTCAAAATTATCACCCAAAAACTAACCTTTGGGCCTCCCCTGGTGGCACAGGTGGTTGAGCGCTGTGCTGTGAAGCTGTCCGCAGCCGCTGCAGCGCCAGTTAAATCCTGGCCCACCGATGAGGGTCCCACATGGCACAGCAGACCTCTCCTGTTTCACCTTGCTGCTCTCCCCTCAGCAGTGTATTTCATCAGTCTGCCTGTTCTGTTCCCCGCTCTGTCTTTGGTGAATCCTGTCACCCTCCCGTGCATCTGGCCTGTACCAGTTCTTGTATAAATAAATAAATAGATAAATCTTTAAAACAAAAAACAAAAAACAAAAACTAACCTTTTATGATTCTTTAACTGGTAATATGGAACCCAACTAGTTTAATCATTCATAAATGTATCTTCTCTCTCTCTCTTTCTCTCTCTCTCTCTCTCTCTCTCTCTCTCTCTCTCTCTCTCTCTCGCTCGCTCGCTCTCTCTCTCTCACACACACCCCCACACACTAAAATGATGTCACACCTTGGTAATTCTAGTCATGAAGGTTGTCTTAGCAAACTAGACTATAATGCCTTTCAAGAAACAATAAAGGTAATTTTTTATAACTAATAAAAGCATTTTGTAGCGATAGCTATGGATTTGAAAATTGGATCCTTGACATATTGTTTAGTAAACTTGAAGCATTTCCTTATATTACTATGCTTTTGTTTCTTCTGTAAAATAGTATTAATAGTTCATGCCCCATAGGTGGTATTTTGCATCCTGTTACTTGACAATAATTAACAACAAATGCTAAATTTCTAAAACTCTCGAAAGATGCAAATTAAAAAATAAGACAGATTTGAATTTGTAACTACATTCACTACACCTACATACATTTATGTTAACATCAATTATAGCAACTATAATAAATTATAAATTGCTTCATTACCTCTACTATAGGATTATTAGTATCTGCATAAACTGAATTTCTCATTTTTGTGTCTCCAAAAGCAAGTAACCCAAAGTCTCTTGCATTGCTGCTTTCAGCAAATATTTGCAGAAGCAGAATAATAGCTTCAATATTTACTAAAAGAAATTATAAAAATGTTTCCCTGAATAAAATGAAAAAGCAAATAGCTTAAAATAAAAAGACCCAAACCAAAGCTCAGCTATTCTGTAGGTCTCTGCCATCCAGGGTAATTTTCAGAAGTCTGTACAACTGATAATACTGTTTGGAAAGATAAGAATGTTATTGCAGTAGGGTTAATGGTGTTTATTTCTAACATAATCACTTTGATTTAAATCCACATACATTACAGTGATGGTTCTGCTTGGTTAGTTGTGCAAATTAAAGTGTTACCAAAGGTAGGCTCTCTAAACAAGATATGTGTTTCTGAAGAAAAATAATATTGGTATCCAGGGAAACTAGTTTTTCACCCAGAAAATAATGGGTGTCCCTTCAAATTTTGGTACTGATACTGGTGTATTGAATTAATATTCCTTGGAAAGTTTTGATTCATTAGGCATCTGACAGAATTATCAAAAGACTGGCAACCACCTGTCCCAGTTGCCTAAATGTAGAAATTCATAGACAAAGATTAAATGAATGACAACTGAGAAAATCCATTCTACACATACACATAAACACACTCACAAACAGATAGATATAAATGAGCGTATTTCTTCCAGATCTGTTTTACTTACGAACTGAACAAAGGCATAAATACATGAAAAATACACATTGTTTTTGTTAGCAAAATAAATCAGCCAAGGAGCCTTTCATCCCAGGGCTGCCCACCTGTGGCTATGCAGGTGTTTCTTTTCACAAATCTGTCCCTTTCAGGATGTAACTCTTTCAGCCCGCTTGTGTCTGTGCTAGTGTCCTTTTCTTTCCTCTCCATTTTCTTCTATAATAAACCTGCCTTTTTGGATATATAAAAATGAAAGAAATCAGTAGATAATTGAAAAAAAAGTAGAAGATTAAAAAGATTCATATATAAATCCAGGAAATTCTGAATTCACTTAGATGATTTATTCTGGCCTCTGATTCCAGATAAATTTTTTGTATCATTCCCTAACTTAATGTATTTTTTATTATTTCACATGAACAAAAACCAACACATACATGTTTAAGTTTGAGACAATATCTTGAATTTTCTTTTTGTTGTTAACTTTTAAAAAATACTCAAAAGGTAGCAAACTAATTAAAATGTTTAATTATAGTTTCAACTCTAAAAAAATGATTTGAAATGAATTGAATTAGCTTAAAATATAAACGTGGCCACAGCACAGTATGACTATAAATAAATATTAAAAACAAATTTATTCTTGAGCTTCCCAGCAGCCAAGACATTAAGGGCAATCTAAGTCATACAATATATTTATTTAATAGAAGGGAACAAAACTATTAAGCAAAATAAATACATACTCCTTTGGCTCTGAAATTTAAAAGGTTATTACAACTAGATCTTTTATTTACATGAGGAGCTGTGAAAATATATGAATGTTAATGAAAATAAAATGCTAAATAAGTTCTGTTAGTATATATTAACAAATTAATAATCAAAAGAAATATGGTTGTCCATCAACATATAAATATATTTAATAATTTTCAATTATTTTGTTAAATTCCTAATAGAACAACTGACATTTAAAACTAAATGAATTTTTTTTAAATAATAAATTTTATTTTTATATTCCCCATACAATTTCAACCCCCCCTTTTGACCCCTATCCCTCCCCTCCCTCCACCCACCCCCCAAAAAGTGTCTCTGGTTCATAGATTTTTGTTGATTTTGATTTTCACTTTCTTATAGTTATTAATTTTCCTGGTCCCTTATTTAAGTTTTCTAGATTCCTGCTATGAGTGAGACCATCCGGTATTTTTCTTTTTCTTTCTGGCTTATTTCGCTGAGCATGATCCCTTCCAGCGCCATCCATGTTGCTGCAAATTGCATGTGTTTATCTTTTTTGAATGCTGAGTAATATTCCATGGTATATATGTACCACATCTTCTTGATCCAGTCATCTATTTTTGGGCATTTGGGCTGTTTCCAAAGCTTAGCTATTGTAAATAGTGCTGCTATAAACATAGGGGTGCAGGTGTTCTTTGGAATTGATGTTTCTGTGTCCTTTGGATAAATACCTAGGAGTGGAATTGCTGGATGAATTTAATAAGATACATTAACTGAGCCACTGCATAATTAATAAAGATAAAAATAAAGATAAATGAAATAAAGTACAAAATTATTTAATAAAGAATTATCTTGGGGATAAACCTCAATGGTACACATCAAGACAGGAACTAGGAAAAACAAATGAAAGTACCATAGACTCTTAGGCTAATATTTCCACCAAGATTCAAACAGAATTCTTTGACTACGAACATCAAAATTCCATAACTGTGTAATCAGTAGTGTATCCTACTAAAATGATAACTGCAGACATTAAGGGGTAAAGAATTTAGTTTTATTTCCAGGATTAGGGACTGGAACTGAGCACATGTGGGGAATGAGGTACAAATCTGCTATTTGGTTCTAGTCCCATCTTGAAAAACTAACCCTAATCAATAGGTAAGATCTTATGCCTCTGGGTTGTTGAATGAGACAGACATTAAGATATTTGTTACTTGAATGAAAAAAAAAAAATGACCCAGAACAAAACATATAAGTATTTGCCTTAATTTGTCAATGACAGATTAGGAGATGTAAAACAATTCTAGATATTGTCTCATGGATGGTTAACTTCTCATCATCCTAAGGAGTGGGAAGAGGCTCCAAGGATGTGCATGAGAGACCATAGTGTCTGGATGAAGTTGTTCAACATATTATTTGTGGCAAAAAATAAAGTAAATTGGTCACAAATTCTAGGGCAAGTTGTAGCTGAGAGGAAGTGAGCTATCATGTGAGGTACATCTAATACAACAGTATGTAAGTGACTATAGGTTGGGATATATTGCCCTAGCAAGGGATTCTTG